GGCAATTTGATTTGACATGCTATTGCTCTAAGAGCTAGTGCTGTCAAGCGATTAATCGCATCCAAAATAAAAGTGTTTGTTTACGTAATAGGCTATATGTGTTTGTACTGTGTATATTTATTATGTATATATAAATAGACACACATGCATGTACATATTTCAGAAAAATATGTTATGTTTATATATTAATTATATTTATATATAATATAAATGATATGAATATAAATATATACATGTAAATATTTTCAAAATATATACTGTATATTTTTGTTTCAAAACAACCCTACCGCTGGGTCAAAACAACCCAATAGCTGGGTTTGTCCCTTTTTAACCCAGCGCTGGGTTATATTTAACCCAGCATTTTTTAGAGTGTACATAATAAATATACACAGTACACACATATATATTATGTAAACAAAAACGTTTATTTTTGGTTGTGATTAATCGCGATTAATCGCTTGACAGCACTACTAAGAACACATTTTTTTGTTTACTTGAAATAGAAATTTTCAATTGACTTGAGAGATTACACAAAGGCGATATACCACTGTATTTTACAGGCAATTTGATTTGACATGTTATTGAAATGCAAGCCTGACAAACAGTTTTGAAAATTCTGGTCTTTCCACATTCAAGTAGAAAGCAGCTTACATAACTGAATAGCTGCTCAAGGTGTTACCAAAGATCTGATTTGCTTAAAAAAGGATTTCACGGTAAGGACACCGCTTCTGAGAAAGGCCAACATTGAGTCACTCCTGCATTCACTAGAAGCAAGTAGAATTCAGGCATTTAGCAGAAGCTTTTATCCAAAACAATTTACGGATCACCAGTCCCTCTGGTTAAGAGCCTTTCTTAAGGACACAATGCCAACAGCTCAAATATCGCTACATTTGGAATTCAAACCTGTGACCTTTCAGTAACCATCCTTTGCAACATACTAGAACGTGAAGTTCTCTGTTGAGAGAATAAATCATACATTGTCCAAAGTCATAGAAATATTAAGTTAAATAAAAAATGGCCAAGTGAACCTGCTCGCCCCACATGAGAGGTAAAACGGTCATCTTATGGGATAGTATATTTACAATGGTAAGAAAAAGTATGTGAACCCATTAGAATTGGTTGGTTTTCTGCATGAATTGTTTATAAAATCTTCATCAAGATCACACTTTTATACAAACACAATGTGCTTAAGCTAATAACACAAAAAACGATTATAATTTTTCATGTCTTTATTGATTTCATGTGTTTACAGGACTATGTTAAACGTTCAACATCTGTCCTCAGTGTGAAATGATGGATCTCAAAATCGTTCAGTCCTGGTTGTGAAAGGTTCAAATATGTAGACTACACTCTTAAAAATAAAGGTGCTTCAAAAGGTTCTTCAAGCGATGCCATAGAAGAATCATTTTTGGCTCCACAAAGAACCATTCAGTCAAAGGTTCTTTAAAGAACCATCTCTTTCTTACCTTTTTGTAATCTGAAGAACCTTTTTTCGCCACAAAGAACCTTTTGTGAAACAGAAAGGTTCTTCAGATGTTGAAGGTTCTTTATGGAACCATTTAGACAAAAAGGTTCTTCTATGGCATCGTGAAGAACCTTTATTTTTAAGAGTGTATACTGGAAAATCAAAGAATGTGCAGGATCTGGAGGATTTTTCTGAAGAATAGCGTGCAGTTTAACAGCTCAGGACAAACAATAGACTCGTGAACGACTCATGTATCTCATCAAAAACAGTTGTAGATCATCCAGGAAATGAGGTAAAGTTCACTTACTTTTACCACCTAAGTAAAAGTGCAGGAAACATTCCTCAGAGATTTTGGTTCATACTGACAGGATAACACTTGCTGCAGATATTTTGTCTGCACATCCATGATGTGAATCTCCTGTTCCACCACATCCCAAAAGCGCCACTGGATTTAGGTCTGGTGACTGCGGAGGCTATTTGAGCATTGTGAACTCATGTTCAAGAAACCAGTTTGAGATGACTGGAGTTTTGTGACATGGTGCATAATCCTGATGGAAGTAGACATCACAAGATGCATAGTTTTGTAGGGTGACACAGTAAAGTGCTCTGATGCATTACCATAGTAAAGATGAAACAAACACGTTGTGAATAAAACTACATTATCAAATCCACAAAACTAGACTTGTCATTGAGTGAATTAAAACTGTCAATCATCAGTGTTGAATAACAGGGTTTGCCTCATATAGCATAACTAAAGAAAACTTCCTACAGTGTTATGTAATGCTAATTCACAGGGAGATTGATAAGAAAAACAACTTGGGCATAACAACTGTTATCACGGAAACGTCTGTATATACAGTATGCGTGTGTATAATCGCAGTAAAGTGTGCGATTATATTAGTGCTTGTCGCTCGTTTCTGATGCAATACATGGCTGGATTGAGAGGTGTGGTATTAAGCAGTGCCATTGTGCGGGAGATTTGTGTCTATAAACTGCTGTCTCATCCTGACCAAGTAAGCACACACATAGTCTGATATGAAAATCTGTCTTTTCATGCGTCATACTGAATGCAAAAAAATCTGAGTCATCATCAATTTAGGATTGCATTTGAGTCTGAATTGCTGCTCTAATATGACACAACAGATTTCCAAAGTAAAATGTGTGTCGTGTGTCTGTGCTGCGTCGGTCTTTACTTGAAGTCTGATTCATCAGAAGTGTTAATACTGACAGGAATAACGTGATAAGAAGGGTGGATTGCTGAGGGTGTTATGTAATGATGATATAGAAAAATGCCGATCTATGACAATCGGTCTAATTTCTCAAATCTCAGAAATTTCAAGAATATTTATGGGCCATAATTCATCCTAAAAACAAAAGTATATAAGAAAATAAAGCCTAATGGTATACGACAAATATCACACATTACTGAAATGATAATATATTCAGTATATAGTTCAATTGCAAGTATACAGTTCATCATGGTAGTTTTGAATGAAATTCTGCAGGGTTAAATTGCTTCCATATTTTATCTCTGGGTCTAATGACCTGTATTATTATCTTCTAAACAGTAATAGAGTGAATGGACTATGTAACAATTAATGACATAACCATTGCACTTTGGTATTCATCAAGTGTCAGATGAGGAACACGCATGATGTGTCATGACCTGCCTTTAAGTGTTGTAGCCTAACTTGTTTCTTGGTTTATAATAATTCATTAAAAATGTAAAAATGAAAAATCGAAGTGTATCGAATTGGAGATTGAATTTCAGATCATTTAAGTATGGCTTCAAAAGATTTGGAACATAATTTGGACTACTGATTTTTTTCCCCTTTATGGTAACTTTGATTAAATGGAAAACATGCACAAACATTCTTCAAAATATTTAATTTTGTTCACACACTGATTCGATTTCTGATTATTATCAATATTGAGACCAGTTGTGCTGCTTAATATTTTAACCATGATGCATTTTACAGGATGCTTTGATGAATAGAAAGTTGAAAAGAACAGCTTTTATTTTAAATAGGAATCTTCTGTAACAGTATAATTGTCTTTACTGTCGCTTTTAATCAATTTAATGCATCCATGCCAAATAAAAGTATTAATTTCTTTCAAATAAAATAAAATAAAATAAAATAAATCCTTCTGATATAATTTCTGAATTGTTGAATGAAGGTACAAAAGGTATAGAAACTGATGACACAGGTTAGGAAGCTCATTTGAGAGGATGTGACAAAATAATGTTCAGAGATGGCTTCAGTTTAGATCAATATCAGTGCTTTTGCGAACTGTAACTTTGCTTCAGCTACGTGTCCTTTTTCAGCACTGAGACATAATGGGCAGAAATTGACAAACGCTCTTCCTCCTCTTGACCATTTCAATAAAAGAGACTACGCTTAAGTAAGAAGCAGACGTACAATTTACCTCTCTTAAAATCCCATCAGGACAGCTGATAAAGAGCTAAAGCTGTAGGGCATCCATTTTACCTCCAGTAATTGCATTTTGGTTTCCCTCTGAAGCCAACAGTATGGTTAATCGTGTTTTTAAGTGTTCATTGTTATCACTACAAGTTGCAGAAGACTGTGTGTTCACATGGATTTTATATTCATATACAATGACATTTACATGACACTCCAAGTCAAATAATAAAATATGGTACTCATGATTTTGTCATGGTGCATTCTGGTACCTTGTTTTTGTAGTAATCTATTAGTCCATTATCATGTACTGTATGTGTAAAATTGTAACGAGCTATTGTTAATGGTGTTTGTTATCACCACAGGTTGCACAAGAGTGTGTCACATGGATTTCATATCCATATGCCATGTTGTTTACATGATATGCCAATGTTCTTCAAAGAATAAGATTACCATGGTACCAAATGTCCAAAACATGGTAATTTGCATACTCATTTTGTTAATGCATAGTCTATTAGTGTGGCATATTAAAGTGTGTGTAAAACATAACAAGTAATGGTTAATGATGGTTTTAAGTCTTGTGTCTTATGTTGATTACATAATATCCCAATGAACTTCAACGAATATACCATAGTACATGTCCAAAAACATGGTAATCAGATAAACTTATTCTTAATGTAGTACTAGCCTATTTATTATAGTAAGTGTTTGTGAAACCATAACAAGTAGTGATTAATGATGTTTTTAAGTCTTGGTTGTTATCAACAAGAGTTTGTTCATATAGAGTTAATGGTACGATATTTACATAGGCTACCATAAAAGAAAAGGTATGTGTATATATATTTTTGTGCGTGTCTGTGTAAATTCGTACCTTATTAATGATGTTTTCAAGTGTTTGTTATAACAGCACGTTGCGCAAGTTCATGGACTTCGCAGAAGATGCAATCTCCATGCATGGCATATTACCATACTGCCCCACAGATTTCTGTGCCAAACCCCCCTCCTCGCGACATGGTATCGTCCTGTCACCTGAGAGGACGAATGAGTGCGGGCCCCTCATGACGCGAGGCGGGCCGCTCCATAAATACTCTCACGTTCCTCGGAGGGGTGACACTTTTCCTGTGTTTTCCAAACGGGTGTGCTAAAGTACCGCAAAAGAGAAACTAAAAATGATGAACGGAGAGATGAACGGTTTCCACAGCTCTCTTATTGAGGAGGACTGCTTCTTGTTTACATCGGAGTCCGTTGGAGAGGGGCATCCAGGTAAAACGTCCAAACAAACTTTGGGCGACTTTAACGTTACAGTATTCAACTTCGCTATTATATAGCAGCACCTGTTCTGCACGTTCGCATTATTATTCTTATTAGCTTGTTTTCTAACCATATTTTTTTTTTTACTAAAACAACTTTGTATTTGCTTTTGTTTGGAAACAATTAAATTAATATAACTCAATTCTCAGATTAAATGAACGTTGGGTCTATATAATGTAACGTACTCTGATGCTTGGTTTCTATGGCTGTGTGTCAAAAACTATTGAGCGGCCATCCTAGACAGCATTTTGAGCACAACAGTCGCCTTCAGTCTATATAAACATATGCACACTCATCTCAGATGACACTGCAAACGCCTCTCATGCCCATAAAGGTAGTCTAGGTAGGCAGATCAGCAGGTTTTGAGACGCAGCCTCGCGCTACACGTGGGATCAAACACGAGGTCTGAGCGCAGCCCACCGTGAAAATGCATTTGCCGCCACGAGACTGGGAGCCCAAACTCCGCCCCTCCTCCAAAAAAAATCCATTAAAGTCACGCTAAAATGATTATAGTTTTGCATTTTAAAATGTTCAGACACTTTAAATTTCAGTTTAGTTTTAGTTTTAGCCAGCTCCAAGTTCGTTGCAATTTCGTTTTTAATTTATGGACCTATTTCCTTTTCTTTTGAAAATTTTAGTTTCAGTTTGGTCATTATAGTTAAAAAGCCAGTCAAAAATAAATCAATAAGACAAGCAAAACTTTTGAATTTAAGAGAAAACCGGAGTTCAGAACAACTGTGACTGGATCATAGACAATGTAAACTTTTGTTGGAGCAAAATCGATTTATACATTTGCATGAATAAATAAATAAATGGATAAGTTGTATATACAAATGAAAAGTCATCATTTATTCTTCAAATACTGGTCCTTTAAATGTGAACCGTAAAGACCACAGATTTTTATAATTTAGTTTTATTACTAACTTTTTTTATTGTGCTGTGCTTTTATTGTGTTGTTTGTGAAATAACCATGAACAGTATATAGGCTCTTTTTGCCTTTTTTAAAGGCATTTTGCCTTAAAAAATATATATTTTCCTGTTTATTATTTGTATAAGCTTAGTGTAGAGTTAATTCTCAAGCACAACTGATGGAGAACAAGCAAATGCAGTGTGGATTGTGACAAATATATATTTGTATTTTCATTGTACAGATAAAATATGTGACCAGATAAGTGATGCCGTGTTGGACGCTCACCTGAAGCAAGACCCAGATGCAAAAGTGGCTTGCGGTATGTTGTCTTTGATTTCTTTGGATTTTCAGAATCATTGAGCTTGCCTGAATATTTTGCATGTGTCCTTTTCCAAAATCATGAATATGAATGTTTCATGGTCGTTTTTTCTTCTTCTAGAAACTGTAGCCAAGACTGGAATGATTTTGCTGGCAGGAGAGGTGACGTCTCGTGCTGTTGTTGATTATCAAAAGGTGGTCCGTGACACCATTAAACACATCGGCTATGACGACTCATCCAAGGGTTGGTTTGAGGATACATTTTATTATACATGCTACAGCATTTAACGTTCAAAAGTTTGGAGTTGGCAAGAGTTTTTGAAAGAAGTCTCTTCTGCTCACCAAGGCTGCATTTATTTAATCACAAATACAGTAAAACATTATGTAACTATATTATTACAATATTAGATTATAGTAATATTTTGAAATATTATTGCTATTTTTTAAAATAACTGTTTTGTATTTTAATATATTTTAATATTCCTGTGATGCAAAGCTGAATTTTCAGCATCATTACTTCTGTCTTCAATGTCACATGATCCTTCAGAAATCATTCTAATATGCTGATCAAGTAACATTTCTAATTATTATCAGTGTTGAAAACAGTTGTGCTGCTTCATATTTATGTGGAAACTGATACATTTTTCTCTTTGAATAGAAATTTCAAAAGAAGAGCATTTACTTGAAATAGAAACCTTTTCTAACATTGTCTTGATCATTTTAATGCACCTATGCTGAATAAAAGTTCTTTCAAAACGAAAAAAAAAAAGGTGAATTACCCCAAACCTTTGAAGAATTGTGTAAATGGATGTGTGGAGATTTTACTGTAATGTAATGTAATTGAAATAGGAGCAGATGAACGGCCAATAAACTCTTCCAAATGCTCTCTCTTGAACCCTTAGGCTTTGATTATAAGACCTGTAATGTCCTGGTGGCTCTGGAGCAGCAGTCTCCAGACATCGCCCAGGGTGTTCATTTGGACCGCAATGAAGAGGATGTTGGGGCCGGAGACCAGGTAAGTCAGTGGAGTCCTAGAACTGTAAATGCAACTCTCTTAATAACATTTCAGTATTAATATTTTCTGTTTTGTGCTTCATTCAGGGTCTAATGTTCGGTTATGCCACTGATGAGACAGAGGAATGCATGCCACTCACTATAGTGCTCGCACACAAACTTAATGCCAAGATGGCTGAACTGCGGCGTAACGGCACCCTGCCCTGGCTCCGGCCGGACTCCAAGACTCAGGTCTGCTGAAATTGAGCTTGCATAGCTAGAAGTGCCTGCATGCAGGTACTTGTGTAGACTGCTTTTCCTGACAGTGCAGTGTGACTCTTTGAAAACAGGTTACTGTGCAGTACCGACAGGAGCGTGGCGCCATGCTGCCGGTGCGCGTCCACACTATTGTCATCTCTGTGCAGCACGATGAAGACATCTGCCTTGATGAGATGCGTGATGCTCTTAAAGATAAAGTCATCAAATCTGTGGTGCCCTCTGTTTATCTGGATGACGATACCATTTATCACTTGCAGCCCAGTGGTCGCTTTGTCATCGGAGGCCCTCAGGTAGAGACTGGTTTTGATTTTGGCAGAATTTCTAGATTTCCATTTAAAGTGTGTGAGTGTTACATAAATGAATAGTGAAGTGTTATTTGTTTTTCTTATACGCTGAAATCAAATATTGTGTTTGGGTCTATTTTATCCTCTTTTTAAACTGCTTGAAACACCTCTTAAGCAATTTATTTCTTCTTAAAATTTTGTAAATAGGGTCCTAAATGTGCATGCAAAGTTTTGACTTGTTTTGGCAAGGCTTTACAAATGTTGGTTACATTGATTGTGTTAGGGGTCAAATTGACCATCATTCATTTCCATTCGATTTGGCAAAAATCAACACTGAAAATGAAAAGTGTCAGGTTAAAAAAGATTTATTGTAGCTTAACAAAGCTAAAATATTAAATGGGAACTTATGAAATAAAAGACACTGTTTACTTGAAATCGAAGACTTGAAGGAGAATTCACTGTTTCTTCATCTATTTGAGTTTCACAGTCAAAAAAGTTGTTTTTGGTTGTTAGTTTGGATCTCAATTACTAGTCTGCAGCACTGAAAAGAAGTGTGAGAAACCCATTTTACCAAACGTAACAAAAAGGCAGAGGCTATTTACATTAAGTACAAATAGCAATAAATACTCCTTAAACTTAGTACAAATAATGTTCGATACTATTTATATTTAGTTGTAAGTTTAGTTGAAGTAGAAAGTATTTAAAAACGTTCCTCAATGTTTATTTTATTGACAATTATGCAAAAACATCTTTTATAGTGTAGTAATGACAAAGCATCCAGATTTTTCTCACTTTTTTGCTAATTTTGAACAAAAATATCTGAGTCAAATTGAATTGACTCATAACTGAAATAACACAGTAGAAATGCATGGAAATTTGATTTCTCACATATTTTATATATTTTTTTGTCTTTGACAAACTACAATACATGACATGAATGTCAGTGTTTTTCATAGTGTCAGTTTTTGGTAAACTGCATGAAAAGCAATGGGGAATCAGTTTGATCACACAGTGAGTATCTATATTTGTAACAAATTGATTTTTCTACTCACGCAGGGTGATGCTGGCCTGACTGGTCGTAAGATTATTGTCGATACCTATGGAGGCTGGGGAGCCCATGGAGGAGGTGCTTTCTCTGGAAAGGACTACACCAAAGTGGACCGCTCTGCGGCGTACGCTGCCCGCTGGGTGGCCAAATCTCTAGTGAAGGCTAAACTGTGCAAGCGTGTTCTTGTGCAGGTAAGTTGGCCAGATATTTTGTTTTGCTTAGAAAGTATAATCCTTTGAATTAGAATTTGTATGAAATTGCATTCACAACGATGCAGGTTTCTTATGCCATTGGAGTGGCCCATCCTCTTTCCATTTCCATCTTCCACTATGGCACATCCCAGAAGAGTGAGCAGGAGCTGCTTAAAATTGTCAAGAAAAACTTTGACCTTCGTCCAGGAGTCATTGTGAGGTAACGGCTGCTCTCTTAATACATTAGCCTGTGATCAAAGCCTTTCATATTCCTTCATCTTTCTGCTTGACACAAATTGGAGTGAATCATTCATGTTTTTTCTGCTTCTGTCTGTGCTTCCTTTTTCTTTGGGTCTTTGCATCTCCTGATTCAATCAGAAAGCTGATAGTAGTCCTAGCAAACCCATTCAACTTTTTCCAAGTAATTATTCAAGATTCAGGAAAAGAGTCGATGATAAAATAAAAGCAAGAAACCAAATTTAGGCAAGAGAACAGACACATAGTGAATTACAGTACTGTTTAAAAGTTTGGGGTCTGTAAGATTGTTTTTAATGATTATGAAAGAAGTCTCCTCGGCTCACTAAGGCTTCATTTATTTGATCACAAATAAAACCATAATATTGTGAAATATTATTACAGTTTAAAGTAATTTTCTATATTGATATTTTAAAATGCAATTTATTCATGTGATCATCATTACTCCAGTCTTCAGTGTCACATGATCCTTCAGAAATCACTCTAATATGCTGATTTGCTGCTCAAGAAACATTTCTGATTATTATCAATGTTAAAAACAGTTGTGCTGCTTATGATTTTTGTGGAAACCATGGATTCGTTGATGAATAAAGTTTAAAAGAACAGCATATATTTTAGATCTTTTATAACATTACAAATGTCTATTACTATTATAAATGTCTTTATTTAAGAACGAATCTTACTGACCTCAAACTTTCCTCAAGTATTAAACATTCAGAAACTGAAAAGTAATACTGTAAAAATAAGACGATTACTATTGAATTGTAATAGTTTTCACTGCATGAGATAATGTGTGAATATTAATACCAAAACACGTAATAATTACACACATGACTGCAAAGTGTGAACTCTCTGTAAAAAGCAGTCAGATAACTGGCAATGTAGAAAGATGGGTATTTTTTATTTCATTTTAGTCCCAACTTTTGACATCCCTAGAAATCTTTTGTATAACATCATTGTAGAGACTTGCTTGCTGCGACTCTCCGATTTGGTGGAAATTTTTATACAGCATCATGAGTAATGTCATTTTTCACCACAAATTCCACATTAAACGGTGCACTTTACATCCCTGACACACATGATTTTAAACATCCTTCACAGGTTAATACTTAATACTTAATACTAGCTTCCACTCTGCTTAAGATGTTGCCTTAGAAGGTAGCTGCAGGTTTGGAACAGAGTCGTCATGTTTCCTCTCTGGATTCAAAGTGAACAGGTTCAAGTGGTTGGCTAGTGTTTGCTATCTATTAGACTTGCTCTCTAATTTCATGCTGCAGTTTCCTTCTTCAGGCCAACTAGTGAGTGTGATGGTAAGTGATCGCTTCATCTCCTCTCTGGCTGGCTGGGTGTTCAACTGTGCACTATCAGTATCATCTACATGATAAATTCATGCAGTTGTATTTTGACCAGTCAATAATCCACGGCTGATGTGTTCTAGGGAGCTGGAGCTGAAGAAGCCAATATATCAGAAGACTGCTGCTTACGGCCACTTTGGCCGTGAATCTTTCTCTTGGGAAGTGCCCAAAAAGCTGCACTACTAAACCGTTTGTCAAGGTTTTTCCTCTCTAGGCCTGTTGGCGTATTCTACAGAGAAGCCCACATGGCTTACGGGGAGAAGTCTGGTTATTCTGGTACAAGTCCTACTGGTTAAATCTTTTTCCTTTGTGATTTTGCATCACATATTTCATTCTTAGTCTTTGAGTTTCAAAGGTGATTATGATTAATCAGCATTAGGATAAAGGAAGTATACTACACAGATTAACACATTAATTTCAATCCTAAAAATTGTAAACTGGTTGGCCAGTATTAATTACGGATTTAATTTTGTGCAGAATAACCAAGCCCTTCACCAATGAATCATAAGCATTCCCAACTGTTTTAACCTTGTGTATTTATTCGTGCTGTCCTCTATGCACATGTATTGAAATCTGTAATCTGGAGGTCAACTCTTATGCTGTATGTTGCTGTAATTTCTCTCTAGCGCTCTGTGGTTCCCAAGTGTCATACAGAAAAACTTTGGGGACCCGGCCACAAGGAAAGTGACTGCTGCAGTGCCATTTATTTTGGCCAACTCTAATGCTGATGCTTATTGTCTTTCTTCTTTCACAGTCTTTCCTTAAACAGAGGGATAGCAATTTTGGCTGGTGTTGTACAGAGAAACTAGCCTTGTTTACATGCATTCTCTCTGTCTATCTCTCTTTCTCGCTCTCTCTCTCTGTTTCTTTACCTTCCTCCAGTTTTAATTTTTTAACAATAAAATGTTTTCTATTATGGCGTAAGGTGTCATCGTCTTTTTTTCTCTCTCTTTGTATTTAGAAATATATACTTATAGGTATAACTATAACTGGCCATGATCTTTTTGGCCTTAGGAATTAGGTTTGAATTATATATAATAAAACCGTATTTATTTTGACAAAATTAAGATGGCCATAAATGAACAATTTGGTCTGGGAAATCATGAGTTTTAATAAATAGCAGAATCAGAATCAGAAGAGCTTTATTACCAAGTATGTTTACACACAAGGAATTTGACTTGACGACAGGAGCTTCCAGTGTAGAAGAAAGTACAACATAGTGCAGACATACATAGGAATAACACAGTAGGGATGTAATATAACACTAATATAATAAAAAAATTATAATAATGTACTATATACAACAATTTGGTCTGGGAAATCATGAGTTTTAATAAATAGCAGAATCAGAATCAGAAGAGCTTTATTACCAAGTATGTTTACACACAAGGAATTTGACTTGACGACAGGAGCTTCCAGTGTAGAAGAAAGTACAACATAGTGCAGACATACATAGGAATAACACAGTAGGGATGTAATATAACACTAATATAATAAAAAAATTATAATAATGTACTATATACAGAAATAGAAGTATAGGAAAAAATTTAATTGTTTAGATAAATGTACTGATATGTTTATTAGTGTGCAGATACAGTATGTTATTTACAAAGTGTGCAGTTTAATATAAATATAACTATGTTAGTTGTGATGGATGATGTATAATTATGAAAGATTAATTGTTCAGGCTGAATATAGCCTGTGGGAAAAAACTATTCTTGTGCCTGGCTGTTCTGGTGGTAAGTACTCTGTAGTGCCAGCCAGAAGGCAACAGTTCGAAGAGAGAGTGGGCTGGGTGTGAGGGGTCCAAGGTGATTTTTTTTAGCCCTTTTCCTCACTCTGGAGATGTAAAGATATTGGAGGCTGGGCACCAATAATCCTCTCAGCAGTCCTGACTGTCCATTGTAGTCTCTTGATGTCTGATTTTGTAGCTGAACCAAACCAGACAGTTATGGATGAACACAGGACAGACTCAATGATAGCAGAGTAGAACTGTTTCAG